TTTAATTGATTTTAGAGAGAGAGAAAGGGAGAGGGACAGACACACTGATGAGAGAGACCATCGACTGGCCACCTCCTGCATGCCCCCCACTGGGGATTTGGCCCAAAACCTGGGCATGTGCCCTGACTGGGAATCAAACCATCTTGGTGCATGGATGGATGCTCAACCACTGAGCCACACCAGCCGGCCAGTATTTTGATTTCTAGCTTCCATTCTGGACGTTTTGCTCATATATTCTTTTTTTTTATCCTCACCCGAGGACATTTTTTTCCATTTTTTTGTTCAGATAGTGTGGGAGGGAGAGAGAGGAAGAGAGAGAGAGAAATAAAAAAAACATCGACGTGAAGGGGACACATCGAGTGGCTGCCACCTGCATGACCCACCAGGGCCGGGGACAAACTGCAACCGAGGTACGCGCCCTTAGCGGCAACCGAACCCCTCTGGTCCACAGACCAACACTCTAACCGCTGAACCAAATCGGCCAGGGCCATATATTCTTTAATCTATGGTTGTCTGTTGCTGATCAGAAGTGGGCAACTAAGAGTTAACAGGAAGCTCTAAAGGAGTTAGGAGGCTTCCTGGAGACTCTTCCCCTGTTGATATCTGTTCCCGAATAGAGCCTTCTATTCTCCACCCTCCTACTGTGAAGAAAACTGCTAGCCAGAGTCATGTAAGAGGGGATTAGAGAGATTCAAGAATCATCCCAGCCCTGGCCGGTTTGGCTCAGCGGTTAGAGCGTCGGCCTGCAGACCAGAGAGTCCTGGGTTCGGTTCCCGCTGAGGGCACATACCTCGGCTGCAGTTTGTCCCCGGCCCCATCTGGGGTTCTGTGGGTGGCAACCAGTTGATGTGTCTCTCTCACATTGATGTCACCCCCCCCCCCCCCAAAGAGGACAGTGCAGGCTTCTGTAGGGCGAGGGGAAGGCGGCCACCTTGCCTAGCACATGAGAGCAAAGCATGCAGACTCTGCTGCTTCTCAGCTCACATCCCATCTCCCTCGTCCCGCTCTGCTCAACCCCCAGTTCCACTGGCGTCTGGTGCTGCCTGTCCTCAGCCCGCTGGTGACTCTCTGGTGTAGATGTGGTATTGATCAGCTTTTCCCACAGTTAGTCTAGGTGGCTAGCTCAGTTTCAGCCAGTTGGTCCCCTCATTCCAGCTTCTAATAGGCTATTATCTGGGATTATGGGGCCTTTTTTTTTAATTCCTTTCCGGAAATTCTGGTGGTGCTTTCGGTTGGAGTCAAATAGATACTTGCATGTAATTCCATCATGTTAACCTGGGAACGAATGCTGTATGTTCATTTGCCTATAACGCATCTCCCCCACTAGAATATAGGTTTCCGGATGACAGGGATGTGTTTTGTTCATTTCACACTTTCAACACCTAGACAGAATACACAATTGGCCTTGAATGAGGGACCTAGGTAGGGTACATGATTGCATACACAAAAGGCAATTGATAAGTAACTGTGTAGCACATTCAGAAACACACACGGTCTAATATTTGCTTATTTAGTTTCAATTTTAACTTTTTTGGGACCCTCTGTTTCCACGGAGAACATTACAGATAGATGCTCAAAGCCAAACTTGGATAAGTTTTAAATTAAAGCTAATTTCCATATGTCGATTGTACGTTAACCTTGTTATTTTATAGTAACAATCCAATCTTATATAAGGTGGACTTGATCAATCTAGAGAAATAATGATCTGAATGTGGTGGCTGTGCCATGTGGTGGCTGAAAAACTCATGTCCTGTCCGAATACAGTCCATACTCAAGGCAGACTATAATCCAGCCAGCGATTACCTCTAGATTCTAGACCTGGAGCGAAACACATGGCTGAATCCCTCAATATCACATCTGAGGATGGCCCTCAGCCTCTAACTTCCAGGACGTTATTCTCTGTGGAAAACTCTTTTCTTTTTTACTCCATGAAGACCTACAAGAAATCCTACCCAGACCCATCTGTTAACTCTCATCTCTCTGAGGAGAGCCCTGTTAGTAGCGTGAATATAGTTTTTTGCCTCCTGATAAGCACTATATTTGTATATTTGTACCCCACTTACAGCACTGAGCACAGTGGACCTAGTATCCTGGCAACTATGTCCCTGTCTGGTTTATTTACTTTCGGGCCATAATACACAGGCAGCACTCAAATGTTTGTGCATTTGAGTTAAACTATTGACCTGAGGCCCCACCCTTTTATTTGGTCCTTTCCTAAAGACATGAGGGTAATTATACTTAGTATTTTAGGTTTGTCAGATTTTTACTGGAAATTTTTATCAGCAAAGGGGACACTGGCTCTTGAAATTTCAACTCCTTTTCAAGGGAGATCTTTTTTTTTTTAATCCTCACCTGGGGACATTTGTCCATTTTTGTTCAGATAGAGTGGGAGGCAGGGAGGGAAGGAGGGAGGGAGGGAGGGAGAGAGAGAGAGAGAGAGAAACATGGACATGAAAGGGACACATAGAGTGGCTGCCTCCCCCACGACCCCAACCCGGGGACCGATCAGAATCCTATGTGCCCTTGGTCGGAATTGAACCCGCGATTCATTGGTCTGTGGGCTGCCACTCTAACCGCTGAGCAGGGCTCAAAGGAGATCGTTATGAACAGAGCAAAGGAGATGTCCCTTGCCCTGGGAAAATGTTTATTTTAAAGTAATTGGCCCTGGCCAGTTTGGCTCAGCAAATGAACGTCAACCTGCGGACCAGAGAGTCCCGGGTTCGGTTCCTGCTAGGGGCACATACCACCAAAAAAAAAAAGTAATTGCAAGACAAAAATGCTTAAAAAAACCTGTGAAGAAAATACTTGATTTCCAAAAACTGTTACAACCCTGAACAACAGAGTGAAGTATAGGAAGAGAAGGCCTAAAAGATGGAAATATCATCTGAAATCAACTCCCCCAGAGGGTCCACTCTCATACAGGGTTAGGGGAGGGTAACTTTGCAGGGGGCAATGCAACAACCTACGGCAAAGCTTTACAAACATTCTCCCCTAGTCACCCAGGAACTCCATTTTGGGGAACATAGCCTAATTAAATAAACCTAGAAAGATTCTTTTTTTTTTTATCCTCCCCTGAGAACATTTTTTTTTCTTTCATTTTTTTGTTCAGATATAGCAGGAGGGAGAGAAAGGAAGAGAGAGAGAGAGAGAGAGAGAGAGAGAGAGAGAGAGAGAGAAACATCAACGTGAAAGGGACACATCAACCGGTTGCCACCCACACAACCCCCACCAGGGGCCCGGGGACAAACTGCAACCCAGGTACGTGCCCTTAGCGGGAACTGAACCCGAGACTCTCTGGACCTTGGGCTGATGCTCTAATCGCTGAGCCAAACGGGCCAGGGCAAAAGATTCTTTCACATGTTCATCAAACACTTTATCCAATAGGGACAACTCAACTATCTGATAAAAGAGGAATGGTTAAGTTAAGGCACATATGTATAATGGAATGAATAGTAAGCAGTCATTAAAAATGTTCTAATAACGATTCAGTATGACTTCACAATTTTCTTTAAAATGTGTTTATGTATATAAAATAATAACTGAGAAGAAATATACCAAAATATGGGCACTTGAATGGTCTGCTAACAGAACATTATCTCCAGGACTTAGAGTGACAAGGGAAAAAAATCTGGGATGTTCTTAATTAAATTACTTACGGAAGGTTGACCAGTGAAAGGGACAGAATAGTTAGCCTGTTAATAGCTGTGGGCCAGCTAACAAGACTGCTCACATTCCTGAGTATAGGTCGGAGCTTTGAATGGACTTCCAGGCGGATAATTCCACCATTATCTAAAAGAGAGGATAGCCAGGAGCCATCAAACCCCAGGAGCTTATATTTCTTGCTTCCGTGTGAACTTTCTAGACAGCTGCCTACTACCCACCCATAGGAGCAAACCAATGGAGCCAACACTTCTTCCACTTGGACTCTGCGCCTATCCCACAGCTAGCCCTGATGCACCTTCTCCCACCCATTTATCTGTAGCCAGTGTAAATTCTTTCACAACCGCCTATATCTTTCTTCCCCCAAATGTTTCCATGGAAGAGCCGGTCAGCTTCAGGACAGGGACACGTTGCCTTCTCCACTGGTGCTGCAGCAGGTGGTTGAGACTCCACGCCCCAGGCCCTGATCTTTTCCAACTAGAAATGGCCCAATAAGCCCATGCTTTAAAAAAAAACTTCCAGCCCTGGCCGGTTTGGTTCAGTGGTTAGAGCGTCGGCCTGCGGTCTGGAGAGACCCGGGTTCGGTTCCCGCTAAGGGCATGTACCTCGGTTGCAGTTTGTCCCCGGCCCTGGTTGGGTCTGTAAGTGGCAGCCACTCGATGTGTCCCTTTCATGTCGATGTTTCTCTCTCTCTCCCTCCCACTTTATCTGAACAAAGTATCAAAAAGTGTCCTCGGGTGAGGATTAAATAATAAATAAGTAAATAAAAAGACTTCCAGCTGTGGTAAGGTTTTTGTTCAACCCAAGCATAAGACACAGTCAATGCTGAACGCATTAAAAATAATAGACAATGTATACGCAAGGGAAGAAAGTTCACCTCTTTGGCTGAAAGAACCTCGGTTATGTCTGAATAATGGTGCGATGTATGGTCTTCTCTTCTTTATAGTTTTGGGTTCCGAATTTTCTAGAAGGGCCTTGCCGACACATACATTACGCTTATCACAGAAAGGACAGACCGACGCCCTTGGTCGGGCCTCGGACTGGAGTTGATGGAGTGGACAAGAATCCAGACACTCGCTCTCCCTTCCGGAGCGGGACCGTGACGTCAGCGCGCAAAGACGTCGGCCTGCGCGCCACGCCCTCCGCCCCTCGCGCCCCGCCGGAGCAGAGTTCTGCCGAGCGTGTCCGAGCATTCCCGGGCGTCCCCGAGCGCTCCCGAACGCCCCCGAACGCGCCCGAAGCCGAGAGGAGCCCCGGGAGCGCGCGGGCGGGAACGCCCCGCCTCGAGCCTGGGAGCGCCGGCGCCGGCGCGGGGGAGGGACGGCCGGATGTGAGTGGAGCGGCCATTTCCTGTTTCTCTGCAGTTTTCCCCAGCTTTGGGTGGTGGCCGCTGCTGGGCTTCAGCTTCCCGTTGGAGGAGGGCGAGGTGGCGTGGACAGCGGCCCCGGCACCCCGCGCCCCGCCGCCTGCAGCTGCGCGCCCGCCCGCCTGCCGCGCCCCGAGCCCGCCGCTTCTCGCCTCCGCATCCGGCCGCCGCGGCCCACCGAGTGGCCCAGATGCAGGCCATCAAGTGTGTGGTGGTGGGAGACGGGTGAGTGTGCGGGCCGGGGCCGGGGCCGGGGCCGGGGCCGGGGGGCCGGGGCGGGCCGGGCGCGCGGGCGCGCGTGGGGCCTGGGCTCTGGCTTCTCCGGGCGCGGGCTGGGGGCGCGGGCCGCCTCCCCTCCCCGGGACCCTGGCGCGGGCCTGGCTCCGGCCCTTTCCCCTCTTTTTGGTGGGGGAGGGAACCGCCGTCGGCGGCCGGAGGGAAAAGTGAACTCCACCCTCCGCTCTCCCGGCGCCCGCTGACCGCCGGGCCACGCTCCGCCGGCGCTGCCTGTGCATTGCGTGGGCTTAGAGTAGCTTTTCTTAAAAAAACGACCCTTTCTTGGCTTTTACATCAACGTCTCGAGCCCTCTGGACAGCGTCCGAGCGTCCGTCGGTCACAACTGAGGAGTATTTGCCTGGGCTGGTTTCGGGGACCCTAACCCGATTTCCCCAGGGGTGTCTTCCATTGGTACTTGGCCACTTTTTTAGAATTTTCAAGACGATTCTTTTTTCCTCTTTCCGTGGATAATCGTGTACGATTCCAGACGCGAGGAAGCTGGGTGGTAATTAAGGCTGTTCGTGTGTTCAGAGCGCCGTGTGGTCATAAAAAGGGGAGAAATTGGCCTCCGCTGCTCGCGTTAGGTCTGGGGCGCAGCAGAGCGGGGCTCCTTGGGCCGAGAGGCATTTCTTTTCATTACTGTCTGGTGGTTACAGGCCTTAGAGGAACACAAGACTTGTCTTATGCAGTTTTTTTTGTTTGTTTGTGTGTTTGTTTTCCTCCCGTGGAAACAAGAATCTCAGTGTAATCCGAGCAAAATTGTGTGTCTCAGCTTTGCTCGAGTAGTTAAGCGTGAACAGGGAAGCTCCAAGAATTACTACCAGTTTCGTCAAACTCAGGATGCAACTGGTACATTTTTAGACTCGTGTAAAAAGCCGAAGGAAGAGTTCTGGCATCCCTGTTCCTTTTGATTACTGTTCCCCCAACTCATCCTTAGGACCGCTGGTGCTTGTATGCCTCTCCATGAGTTTATGAATTCTGAGTATTTCGATCGTTGTTAGACATTTGAAATTGTTTATATGAGTTTAAGAGAGAGGAGAAAAAAAAAGGTCGGATTGCTGATGTTTTACCATCTAAGCATCAGTGTGTCATGTTCTTATGCAAAAATGTTTCAAACTAAGACATAAGCACAACAGATACATTTAGTTTATGTAATACAGGTTTAAGTCCATCTGCTGTTTGTATTGTCTTGACTAGTCAATGACTTGTTGAATGCCTACTAAGGGGTCTGGATCCTTCCTTCCCATCTTGGCCCCACCACTTAGGAGGAAACCCTGAGCTATCACTTCATCCCCCAAGAGAGGGGCCTCCAGGGGAAGTTGTGAGGGTTAAACAAGATGTTGGATATTAAGTGCCTGGCAGATGCTTAGTAAGTGCCGGCTGACCCTGTTGTTATTGCTGTTCCTGATCCTCTGAGGCTCTGGGCGCTGTGAAGGAGTGCTAACACAGTTCCTAGCCTTCAGTTTTTTAATACTGTATCTGACATTGCTGTTAACTAGTCTAAATTATATTAGAAGTGAAATGTGCCTTTACCGAAAAATGTGAAGCTGTATTATTTAACGGACAGTATGTGGAAAACACCAGTACAAAACTTAGATACCTAGTTTCACATTCCAAAAGTATTTTTCTGCTTTTACCCAAATGAAATATATTCCTGATGATAAAGTTGGAATGTTTTTTTGTTTTGTTTTGTTTTTTATTTTCAGACAGGGAGGGAAGGAGGGAGAGAGAGAGGTGAGAGAGACACATTGATTGGTTGACTCCCACATGATCCCATTGATGACCGGAATCAAACTCTTGGTCCAAGGGCCAATGCTTTAACTGCTGAGCCAAACTGGCCAGGGTGGAATGTTCTTTTATTCAAAGATTGTTGCCCAGCTGGTGTGGCCTAGTGGCTGAGCATCAACCCAGGCACCAAGAGGTCACCGGTTCGATTTCTGGTCAGGGCACATGCCCAGGTTGTGGGCCCCATTGATCCCCATTTGGGGGCATGCAGGAGGCGGCCAGTCTATGTTCTTTCTCATCAGTGTTTCTCTCTCTTTCCCCCTCTTCCTTCCTCTCTCTCTAAAAAATCAATAAAGAAAACAAATTCAAAGATTGTTAAAGCTGTTAAGTGTAGTTATAAATTTCTTGGAGTTAAGAGTTACTTAATGTGTGGAATTTTAGTCAATTAAGGGCAGTTTAAGCAATGAAAGCAAACAGGTTCCACAAATTGCAAGCTTCCTCATTTTAAAAATGTTCTTGGGAATTATCGTTAAAAGTTATGTCATAACTGTGGTTTTAAAATTTTATTTATTTTTGTTTCCAGTGTTTAATTGGGTATGCACACAGGCATGACATGAGTTTGGATTCATTAAGACCGCATATGTCATAACAGTTACAACTAAGATGAATTAAGTTATATTTATCTAATGGATTATTTCCTATATTTAATTGGCATTGACTTTAAAATATGAGATAAAACTTTATTTATTTATTTATTTTCTTTTTAATTTTATTTTTGTTACACGTTTCTCCTTTTTTACCCCATTGACACCGAGATAAAACTTGATTCTTTTTTTTTTTTTTTTATCCTCACCCTAGTACACTTTTCCACTTTTTTTTTTTTTTTTATCCTCACCCGAGGACATTTTTCCATTTTTTGTACAGATAGAGTGGGAGGGAGAGAGAGAGAGAAACATCGACGTGAAGGGACACATCGAGTGGCTGCCACCCGCACGACCAACCAGGGCCGGGGACAAACTGCAACCGAAGTACGTGCCCTTAGCGGGAACCGAACCCGGGTCTCTGCGGACCGCAGGCCGACGCTCTAACCGCTGAGCCAAACTGGCCAGGGCCACTTTTCCACTTTTTGTTCAGATAGAGTAGGAAGGAGAAAGAGGAAGAGAGAGAGAGAGAGAGAGAGAGAGAAACATTGACGTGAAGGGACACATCGAGTGGCTGCCACCTATACAGCCCAACCAGGGCCGGGGACAAACTGCAACTGTGGTACATGCCCTTAGTGGGAACCGAACCCGGGTCTCTCTGGACCACAGGCTGATGCTCTAACCGCTGAGCAAAACCGGCCAGGGCTTGATACTTTTTTTTATTCTGAGGCAGTGCTTGCTAAACACAGGGTCTGTCACTTTTATTTGGGGGACTTCTGCCCCAAGATTTTCTCTCAGCTTTACTTAGGTAAGACAGCACCTCACATTCAAACACTTACAAACAGCCATTTTTAATAGTGTCGTTCAGGCTTTGGTTTATTAGAAGGCTGGCAGTGAATGTCTCAAAGCCCTCATTTCACTCATTGCTGCCCAGGAATATTTTCAGTTGAGCATAAAAAATTCATGTGTGCCTTCCATGATGTCATCTTTATGGGAATGTATTCACACCGGTTACTTCTATTGAACAATCTGTGATGGCATGATACATGATTTTTTTTTAAAGCTTCATGAATTCTCTCTACGTATTTCATTCTGAGCCATAGGGTGCCCTCTTTTTGACATGTTGTGAAGGCATTTGAATTCCTCACTGGCTTCTAAATTCAGGATTAGTCCTTGACTCTGATCTTGGTTGGTAAAGTGATACAATGCTTTTTTCTTTTTAATAGTGTGTCATTGTTTACTACAGCTATGGCTTATTTAGTCATTCTATTGGATGGTTAGGTTCTTTATTAACTTTTGTTATCTTTTGTGAACTTTTTTTTTAATTGAGTTTACTGGGGTGAGTAAACAGTTTACTGTTTAATAAAATTATGTATGTTTCACCCTGGCCAGTTTTGCTCAGTGGTTAGAGCGTCAGCTTTCAGTCCAGGGAGACCCGGGTTCGGTTCAAGCTAAGGGCATGTGCCTCGGCTGCAGTTTGTCCCCGGTCCTGGTTGGGTCATGCTGGTGCCAGCCACTCGATGTGTCCCTTTCACATCGATGTTTCTCTCTCTCTCTACTTCCCACTCTATCTGAACAAAATATCGAAAGATGTCCTCAGGTGAGGATTTAAAAAAAAGAAAGAAAATTATGTACGTTTCAGGTGTACAGGACTATAATACATCATGTGTATATTGTACTGTGTGTTCACCACCCCAAGTCAAGTCTCCTTCCATTACCGTTTATCCCCTCCATACCCTCTTCTACCTCCCCCAATCCATTTCCCTTTGGTATTCACCATGCTGTGTTGTCTGTATCTATGAGTTTTTCCTTTTTCTTTCGCTTAATCTCTTTTGCCTTTTTCACCCAGCACCCCCGCTCCCCACAGCTGTTTCAAATGATAATCTCAGTAAAAGTTTGAGATTTGGTTAGAGGAGGATCTGGAATCCATTAAAAAATTTTTTTTCTTTATTGATTTCAGAGAGAAAGGAAGGGAGAGGTAGAGAGAGAGAAACATCGATGAGGGAGAACATTGATTGGCTGCCTCTTGCATGCTCCCCACTGGGGGATTGGGCCCCCAACCTGGGCATGTGCCCAGACCAGGGATTGAACCGGTGACCTCTTGGTGCATGGGTCAACGCTCAACCACCGAGACATACCGGCCAGGCTCTGGAACCCATTTTTAGAAACCTTAAATCCACCTTTTATGATACTCTGTCTTTGTATTAATCGTCTAATGTCTTGGTACTTAATACTTTTTCACTTCTGCATCACCAGGTAGCTGTCTTTTTTTTTTTTTTTTTTTGGTACGTGCCCCTAGCTGCAACCGAACCTGGGACTCTCTGGTTCGCAGGCCAGCACCCCAACACCCCAACCACTGAGCCAAACCAGCCAGGGTGGTAGCTCTGTCTTATAATTATGGTCTTCCTAGAAAGATGTTTTATCAGGAATTCTTCTATAGATTTCTAATCAGTGTTACAGATGTCATCAGAAGAAATGTGAAAAATTTCAAACCTAGAAAAGTTGAAAGAATTGTCCATTGAACACATATATATACATATACCCACGCTTTGATTCTGTAATCAACATTTTGCTCTTTGTTTT